CCCCCCCCCCACCCCATGACGCCACCACTTTGTTCTGCTTTCTAAACCAACCGTCTCCACCTGGTGCATCCAAATTGTTCTCAAAGCCCTTCTGGGAAGCCTGCCAAGCCAGGTGCCCCTCTCTCCGCTTGCAGCTGCCCTCAGTCTCCATCCAGGATAAGCCCTCTCCACCCCCACCCTCCAGCCAGCAGGACACACGGGAAATCCAAAAGCAGCTTTGTACTGGGGAAAAGGTTGAGATCCCTGGGTGAAACCAGCCCGGTCTCATCTTCACTGTGAATCTCTGCGCAGGGGCTTTGCATGGCTCTTCCCTCTCCTCGTCCTATAACCTTCCTCCCCTCCCCTCCCTTCCCCTCTGCTCCCACCCCATCTGCTGCTCCTCCTGGCTAGGCTCCCCCTCAGTTGGCACAGCAGGAAAAGAGAACAGGATGGTTTATTTTTATCCTCAGATACTGCTGGGGGGGGGGGGAAGGGGGCACCATCTGACCAAGAAGCTGCAGCTCCTGTAGCAGTCGGGAGGTCAGAAGGAAGTGGGAGGCCCAGGAGCTCCCCAGGAAGGAGCCACAGATGTAGGTTCCAGAGAGCAGGAAGATCTGGAAGCAGCAGCACAGGACGGAGAGTGGGGAGCTCTGAGTGGCGTCTCTAAGAATTGCTGTGTGGCCACAGGCAAGTGGCTTCACCTCTCTGGGCTTCCATTTTCACCTCTGTTCAAGAGGGAGGGATGTGGAACCCTGGCTGCCCTCAAGGCCGTTTTTTGACGAACATAAGTAAAATGAAGACAGCGCTTTGCAAAACACAACGCCAAATGCGAGCACACATGGAAACCGCCCTGGAAGGACAGCAGCCTGGGGACATTGTTATTATCCTCAGAAAGTGCCCTAATTCTGTGAGCCTGACAGTAAGTTAAACAGCTCATGTCATCGAGCATTTCCACCCCCGTTTTCCTTTATACATGTTTGATGACTTTTTAATTACATAAGCACTGTATGAACTCACTCTCCGTTTGGGGCGGGGGGAGCCAATTCTTCCTTTAACCCTTCGCCAACCCTTCTTCCCCAACCCAGACATTACAACTCCTGGAACCGTGCGTTTTCTGTGTATCCTTCTGAACACTGGCTATACCTACACATACACGGGTATGTTCTGTGCATACACATAACCCCAGACGACATATCATGCTGTTGGGGTGTGTGTGTTTTTAAAGAAATGTTTTCATACCCATCATTCTGCAGCCTGCTTTTTTTGTTGTTGTTGTTCCACAACAGTGTTCTTGAGATCTTGTTGTATAAAATATATTACACTTTTATTTAGCCAGTCCCCTGCTGCTGGACAATTAAGTGGCTTCCAGTTGTCCACTGTCACAAACAACACCGCGACGGATATTCACGCATACGTCTTCCTGGGCTCGTCGACACCACCATGATACATCTCTGGCCACTGAACTCTGGGCGGGAGGATTTTGGTGGATATTCCTACACGGCCCCCCAAAAGTTTTGCCTCCGCCTTTACAAGCAAGTCGGGGGATCAGTGGGCTCCAGGGTGGGGTGGAAGGTTCTGTTTCTGCACCACAGGGGTGCAGACCGGGGGGCGCCCCGCACCCTCCCTCTGCAGCACCAGCAGCTCCAGGCTCTCCGGCCACGTGCCCGTTTCCCATGCCGCCACACTCCTGGGCACACACCGCCTCATACTCTCTCCTGCACTGAGATGCGGCTCTCTTTGCCGTCCTCCTGGGTGACCGGCTGGCACCCGTGTAAGGTCTCCTGCACCGGAGCAATGGGGTGGAGGGTGACAGGAAGGACCTCCAAGTCCTCCACAGGGTCCTGCGACACAGCCTTAGGCTGGAGGACCTGGGGAGCCAAGGCGGGAGGTTACCCCCGGCAATCCTGCAGAAGGGGACCCCCCCCAACACGCGCGCGCGCGCGCGCACACACACACACACACACACACACACACACACACACGGAAGCCCCTTCCCCTTTCCCAAAAGGAGGGTTGGTGCTGAGTCAGTGGGTGCCTCCTGCCCCCTGCTGGCCACACAGAGAGTGTCAAGAGGCTTCC